TGCTGAGTTTTCCAAATTTGCTGGCATATTGAGTGCAGCATTTTCACAGCGTCATCTTTTAGGATTTGAAATGGCTCAGCTGGAATTCCATCACCTCCACTAGCTTTGTTTGTAGGATGTTTCCTAAGGCCCACTTGACTTCGCATTCCAGGATGTCTGGCTCTAGGTGAGTGATCACACCATTGTGGTTATCTGGGTCGGGAAGATCTTTTTTGTCCAGTTCTTCTGTGTATTCTTGCCACCTCTTCTTAGTATCTTCTGCTTCTGTTAGGTCCATACCATTTCTGTCCTTTATCAAGCCCATCTTTGCATAAAATGTTCCCTTGGCATATCTAATTTTCTTGACGAGAGCTCTAATCTTTCCCATTCTATTGCTTTCCTCCATTTCTTTGAATTGATCACTGAGGAAGGCTTTCTTATCTCTCCTTGCTATTCTTTGGAACTCTGCATTCAAATGGATTTATTTTTCCTTTTCTCCTTTGCCTTTCACTTCTTTTCTCAGCTATTTGTTAAGGCCTCCTCAGACAGCCATTTTGCCTTTTTGCATTTCTTTTTCTTGGGGATGGTCTTGATCCCTGTCTCCTGTACAATGTCATGAACCTCTGTCCATAGTTCATCAGGCACTCTGTCTGTCAGATCTAATCCCTTGAATCTATTTCTCACTTCCACTGTGTAATTGTAAGGGATTTGATTTAGGTCATACCTGAATGGTCTAGTGGTTTTCTCCACTTTCTTAAGTTTAAGTCTGAATTTGCCAATAAGGAGTTCATGATCTGGGCCACAGTCAGCTCCTGGTCTTGTTTTTGCTGACTATAGAGCTTCTCCATCTTTGGCTGCAAAGAATATAATCAGTCTGATTTCGGTATTGACCATCTGGTGATGTCCATGTGTAGTGTCTTCTCTTGTGTTGTTGGTGTTTGCTGTAACCAGTGCGTTTTCTTGGCAAAACTCTGTTAGGTGACTTCAGTGATACAGATTTCACTGATGAGGGACACTTTCAAAAACAAACTACCATTCACCCATTATAAGCTTTTTAAAGGTTTTATTTTTTTTATAACAGCTTTATTGAGATATAATTCCTATACCATACAATTCACCCCTCTTTTTTGACATTAAAACCTAGTTTATTAAATGTTTAGTATAGATCAAAGACTGGATTAATGATATGCAGTTTTTCCTCAGAGCAGCTGCATTTATTTCCATATGGATCACAGAAAAATAGCATTTAGATAAAGTAGCTCATTTTAGTCAATGTTTCAAGACAGGTTGACATTTTTTCCAATGTGAATATGAGTTCTAATCTTAAATAATTCCTCTTTGGTATAAACATAATTTTCCAACTCATTTTAATTGATTTTGTGAAGAAGCCAAACAAATTTTAATTTTCCTAATGGTGATGCTAACACACACACCCCATTATATAATAATGGGATTATTTTGAAAATTTTAAATGTATGAAAATGTTTTTGCATTAACTTATTTATTCCATATATGACCATATCTGGTGTGACAGATCTCAAGGCCTTACCACTAATAATCAAATATTATCTTTTATATTACTTTGTCAAGAAGTGCTTTTCCAACTATTTATTACATATAGTAATAGCTCATCAATTACTGATTATAGACATTCAGGAAAAAATGATTCCACAGTGAGTTCTATTTGTTCAGAGATTTGGGTGAATGTTAGATTTCTCTCTTTTAACTGCAACCAGGAAAATGAAGGCCATTTTGCAAATGAATGTATAAAGTGAGAACTGTTAATATTTTGATGCCCAACATACAAACAGAAGAGTGTTGGGTATTTGATTGCTTTATGGCTATACACACATGATATAAACAGAAACATGAAAAATTAGGTAAGTTAATTTTTGCATAAAATTAAGTTGAGTCAGTTCAGATAGAGATTTATTAGAACCATAAATAATTAGACCAGCTTTAGAGTTGTTTGATCTCATTATGTCCTAGTCATTTCATGTATATACATATAAATTCAATGTGAATTTCACACTTCCTAAAAATTTTTAATCAAAAAGTCATTAACCAGTGAACTAACTGAATTCATTATTCTGAACAAGTAGCTTTATTTTCAAATTTCAATGAATCTAACATTCTTCCTATTGGACTACACATTGTACATATCCAATAAACAAAAATATTCCAACTAAACTGTGACATAATGCTTTCTTTTTGCTTAAAATTTGTATTTTATACTTAATAAGAGAGCTGTTTTAGACTCATTTACAGTAAGTGTTTTTACAGTGATTCTTGAGAATTCTTATAAAAAGAAACTGTAAACAAAGTAAATTCATTATATTCCTTGAACATCTTTGCATTCAAAGTCCAATTCTTCTGAATCACCATTAAACTCAAATTGTCATTATTTTTTTTCTCATCCATGTCTTTTTTATGTCATCAAGAACACTGGTGCTGTGTAGCTTTTCTTCAAATAGGGCTCCAGTGTCCCCTGCCTTCAGTATTTCATCCAAGTCATGGGCTACCAATCTGCCAGTCTTGAAGCTGGTACTTTCTTATCTTCCAGGATTTCAGAAAACAACCAGTCCTCATATTTCTTTCTGAAATTGTAATTAAATAGTTGTCAACAGAAGGATCAAGGCATTACAACCATGGCTCATGTCCAAAGACATGGACAAATTCAGCAACAACTGTGACTTGACCACTCCTGTCTATGAAAAACTATAAGATGCCACCTGTTCTCAGGGAGGGATCTCAATTGCAGGAATGTTAAAATATGGGAAAGCATGTGTTTTAGAATCAGTGAAATATGGTTTTAATATTGCTGAATTTTTCTATAGCTGCATTAATTAAAAAATTTGTTAGTAAAACTTCTCCATATGCCATATTTGACACCATCCTATCTGGAGCTCCTCTGAGTAAATTTTTGCTGTATAAACATAAAGGAATGCCCTTCTTGGGCTTTCCTGGTGGTTCAGATGGTAAAGAGTCTGCCTGCAATGCGGGAGACCTGGGTTGGGAAGACCCCCTGGAGAAGGAAATGGCGACCCACTCTAGTATTCTTGCCTGGAAAATTCCATGGATAGAGGATCCTGGTGGACTACATTCAATAGGGTTGCAAAGAGTCGGACATGACTGAGTGACTAACACATTTCATGCAAGATAGCAAAACAAGCTCTGAGTTTCAGAATTTCATCTAGTTATTTATTAAGGGTCAGAGCACAGATGCTCACTGGGAACTGCTGACCTATGAAAGCAAAGAAAGGTGGTTCTAGGAATTCAGAGACTTTCAGGAGTAGGGGTTTTCTTTTGTTATGCTCCTTTGAAGAATACAATGACGGTGTTTTCTGTTACTTTAAAAACCTCTAAATTTTGGATTTTGTCACTTCAATAAAAAATTTCAACATTTCTGAGATGATTTAACAAAGGAATTGTGTATCATCTTAGATTCATCATTCTTTTTTAGGGATTGACCAAAAACATGTCAGATATTCAAAAGATATTGAATTTCTCCAGGATGCTTAATTTGGAGTCATTATTTTGAAATCAGTTCTGGCCTTGTCTGTAATGTTATGCCTGTAATTCTTTATGGCTCTGAATCAGCAGTCTTTCAGTCAGCAGTCTTTGAATCAGCAGTTAAATGTCCCTTGAGTTGTTGAAGGTAGCTTCAGCTACATCTATTAAAAAATAGTCACAGCATATGATATCTTGGATGGAGCTGTTTACAAAAATTACTGTCTTTTTCTTTGGTTGCTCCAGAATTTTTCACCTTTGTTCTTGATCTCATAGGCCCCCAAGTATTAGCTCCTCAAAGAGAAGACCTGTCTCTTTAGACTGGCTTTCAAATAATTGGCTCTTTTAGAGAGATTTTTGGAGAAGGCAATGGCACCCCACTCCAGTACTCTTGCCTGGAAAATCCCATGGATGGAGGAGCCTAGTGGGCTGCAGTCCATGGGGTCGCTAGAGTCGGACATGACTGAGCGACTTCACTCTCACTTTTTACTTTCATGCATTGGAGGAGGAAATGGCAACCCACTCCAGTGTTCTTGCCTGGAGAATCCCAGGGATGGGGGAGCCCTGGTGGGCTGCCGTCTATGGGGTCGCACAGACTCGGGCACGACTGAAGCAACTTAGCAACAGCAGAGAGATTTTTAGACCCTTTCCACTTGTTGCTTAGTTGCTTAGTTGTGTCCGACTTTGGTGATCCCATGGATTGTAGCCTGCCAGGCTCTTCTGTCCGTGGGATTTCCCAGGCAAGACTAGTTGTAGTGGGTTGCCATTTCCTTCTCCAGGAGATCTTCCCAACACAGGGATTGAACCCACTTGGCAGGCAAATTCTTAACCACTGAACCACCAGGGAAGCCCCTTTCCACTTGTTATTATCCTTTACTGTTTAGCTCTTACTCATATGAAAGTGAGATTTGTGTATCTCTGGGGTAGCATGCAGATCATGAGGAACTAATGAGTATTTGGGACTCATTTATATTAATAAAATGAGAGCAGAGTTCAAATAATGGAAGTTTCTTAATATAATTCATTGAAATCTTTAAAATGATGTGCCCCTCTTCTTTTTGTTTTCCTTGGTCAGTGCTCCCCACATGTTATTTATCTGTTTGTTTAATACTCTAAATATACAAGTACTGTATTATTTTTCCTTCCAGTGTTATTGAGATGTAATTGACATGCAACACTAAGTTTACAGTATGATGATTTGACCCCTCTTCTTTATGAAAGAATAGTCAAACTTGTTTTAGTCACTTTGGGCCATTTGAGCTGCTCTAACAGTCTCCAAAATCTCAGTGACATATGAAAATTAGATCTTATTTCTTGTTTATATAAATTCTTGCCATTTGCCAGAAGCTTATGCCAGGAGCCAGGCTCCTTCCATCTCTGGGATTTATCTTTCCTTTCTTGAATCCTGGTTAGGAGATTTAACAATCCTTTATTTTCATTATATTTTTTCTAATACCTTCAACAAATATTTTATGAATCACATATGCCTCCCTCTCAAAGAATTGGTTTCATTTGCAAAGGAATGTATAAATTTTCAACCTTTTTAAGAGGTTTTATTTTTAAAAAATATAACAGCTTTACTGAGATGTAATTCATATAGCATACATTTTACATCTAAATTTTAGGATTCAGTAGTTCTTAGTATGTTCACAGAGTTGTGCAGCCATCACCACTATTTAATTGCAGATCATTTTCTTCACTTCAAAAAGAAACCCACACCTGTTAGCAGCCACACCCAGTTCCCTACCCAAGACTCCCCACTCCGCCTCCATTGCCCCAGCCTCTGGTAACTATTAACTTGCTTTCTATCATTGTTATGTTAGCTGCTCAGTTGTGTCCAACTCTTTGGGACCCCATGGATTGTAGCCTGCCAGGTTCTTCTGTCCATAGAACTCTCCAAACAAGAATACTAGAGTGGGTAGTCACTATAGATTTGTCATTTCTGGACATTTCATGTAGATGGAATCATATTGTATGTGGATTTTTTTGTGTGTGTAACTGAGTTCTTTCATTTAGTTTGTTTTCAAAGTTTATCCATGTTGTAGCATGTATCACTACTTCATTCTTTTTTATGGCTTAATAACATTCCATGGTATGAATATAGCACATTTTGCTTATCCATTCAATTGATAGACATTTGAATTGTTTCCACTTCTTAGCTATTATCATGATTATTGATGTGAACATTTATGTACAGGTTTTTGGTGGACATGTGTTTTCATTTCTCTTGGGTATATACATAGGAGTGTAATTCTTGGGTCATATGGTAACTATTACACTTTTTGAAGAATTGACAAGTTGTTTTTCCAAGCAACTGCACCATTTTACAATCCTGCCAGTAATCCATAAGAATCTAAAGGCTCACGTTCTAACTCACTGTACACTCCATCAAAGATGAGTCACATGTTTTTAAAATTTACACCCTACATTTCATTATCCTGATAACTGTCTTAACACTTTCTAAAGCAAAGACACAAAGAAATCTTCTCTTATTGTGATATTAAGTGAGATGAGACTTGAATGATTTCTTATATTTTTTTTCTAGCCAAGGACAGATGGCAGAAGCAGTCAAATACTTGAAAAAAGTTGTGAAAATTGCAAGAAACAACTTTCAAAACCTGGATTTTGTGAGAGCAAGTACAATGCTTGGGGACATCTACAATGAAAAAGTGAGCATACTGTGTTTCTATCAGGTGGAGAGGGAGGTGGGGGGGGATCAGGATGGGGAATACATGTAAATCCATGGCTGATTCATGTCATTGTATGACAAAAACCACTAAAAAAAGGGGGGGGGGAATTTGCAGAATTTCAAACTTCTGTGTGCATTTGATCCTCATCTTCCCATAGTATGTTGTCCAGAATGGCCCCAGGAAAGCAGGACTTAGTCAATGCAGAAGGTAGTGACTGGGAAGAGAAATGCCTCTTCCTTCTTCCTCTTCCAGATTGTTATTGTTGATCAGTCGCTCAACTGTGTTCGTGTGACCCCATGGACTGCAGCGCACCCAGTTTCCCTTTCCTTCAGTACCTTTCGGAGTTTGCTCAAACTCATGTCTGTTGAGTCAGTGATGCTGTCTAACCAGCTCACCTTTGCTGCCCCCTTCTCCTTTTGAAAGATTGCTTTCAATCTTTCCCAGCATCAAGGTCTTTTCCAATGAGTCGGCTCTTCACATCAGGTGGCCAAAGTAATGGAGCTTCAGCTTCAGCATCAGTCTTTCCAGTCGATATTCAGAGTTGATTTCCTTTAGGATTGAGTGGTTTGATCTCCTTGCAGTCCAAGGGACTCTCAGGAGTCTTCTCCAGCCCCACAATTTGAAAGCATCAATTCTTTGGCACCCAGCCTCCTTCATGGTCTTTCTCCACTACGTGACTCCTGAAAAAAACCATAACTTTGACTGTATAGAACTTTGTAATAAGCAAAGTGATGTCTCTGCTTTTTAATACACTCTCTAGGTTTGTCATAGCTTTCCTTCCAAGGAGCAAATGTCTTTTAATTTCGTGACTGCAGTTGCCATCTGCAGTGATTTTGGAGCCCAAGAAAATAAAATCTGATACTGTTTCCACTTTTTCCCATTCTATTTGCCATGAAGTGTTGGGACCAGATGCCATGATCTTGTTTTTTGAATGTTGAGTTTTAAGCCAGCTTTTTCACTCTGCTCTTTCACCTTCTTCAAGAGGCTCTTTATTTCCTCTTCACTTTCTGCCATTAGAGTGGTATTATCTGCATATCTGAGATCGTTGATATTTCTGCCAGCAATCTTGGGTTGCTGGATGAAACCCAGATCAGGTTGGGTTTCATCCAGCCCAACATTTCACATGATGCCCTCTGCATAGAAGTTTAATAAGCAGGGTGACAATATACATCCTCGTCATACTCCTTTCCTAATTTTGAACCAGTCAGTGGTCCCATGTCTGGTTCTAACTGTTGCCCTCACATAGTATCACACAATTACCTTTTTTCCAAGCTCAGAGTGCTTGAGTAACCTACCCCAGCTTGCCAAGCTTCTAGGTGGCAGTGGTATTCAAACTCATCCACTGAACCACTATCGTATCATATCAGTGATTTTAATCATTTCAGAATTATTTAGACTTTTTATTATGAAAGTAAGAGTCTGAAATTAGTTTGAATGAATAAAATTACCATGTTTAGTTTCTACAGTGGGAAACCATGCTTTCGCACAGGGCATCCTTCTCTCTGGCTCCCCTGGCTCACTGGCCTCCTCCCTGTCCTCTCATTCAGTAATAATGTTTGGTGCCCTTTAGTCCTGCCTGTCCCCTTTCCCCCTCCTCCTCCCTCCCCCATTCGCTTGCCTCCCGCCTGCCCTGTCTTTCTGGGACCCCGCTGTCCCCTGTGGCTGTCCCCTCCCTCTCCCCGCTTTGTTCCCCTCTTTGTGCCCTGCCCCGCATGGGTCACCCCCAGGGCTCTCTGCTGGGTGCCTGCCAGCCCCATCTCTGTGTTCTGCTCTCTGCCTCTGGTGACCCTGTGTCACTGATTTTGTATTTCCTTTGGTGTACTTTTTCAGGATATAGTGATGAAAATAAGAGTCAAAGCTTACCCCCCCTCTGCAGCTCACCATCTAATGGGCAAGCTTATCTTAGGGTGGCAGAATTGACATTCCTAATAAATATATGTAGTCTTTTGGGAGGGGGTGAAGAAGAGTGTGGATAGTTTTCTTGAAAGTCTTTATTGAATTTGTTATAATAATGCTTTCTTTTAAGTTTTAAGACCAAGAGGTGTGTGGGATCTTAGTTCCCTGACCAGGGATCGAACCCACACTCCCTGCATTGGAAGGCAAAGTCTTAACCACTGGACCACCAGAGAAGTCCCAAAACATGTGTAGTCTTACCTTTTAAAAAGATTGTCCTTCAAAAGAGAGGTGCAAAAAGCACAAATTGTTTTACCCTCCTACCAAGCAATACCCAGCATACAGTTATGTGTTTTTTTAACTATAACGTGGACATTGAATATCAGCCTGTATTTTCCCAATTACAGAAAACATAAGGAAGGTAAAAGCCATAAACATATCTGAGGGGTAATATTTTTGTAAGGGCTTCCCAGGTGGCACTAGTGGTAAAGAACCCACTTGCCAGTTCAGGAGATGCAGGTTCAATCCTTGGATCGGGAAAATCTCCTGGAGGAGTGCATAGCAATCCACTCCAGTATTGTTGCCTGGAGAATCCCATGGACAGAGGAGCCTGGCAAGCTAAATTCCATAGGGTTGCACAGAGTTGGACATGACTGAAGCGACTTAGCATGAATGCCATATTTTTATACTCACATAGTCTTAATTTTTTTACCAAGGGTATCTTATCCACATGTACTTTATTCTCTGATTAGTAATTTTTGAAGAAGAATTTAATATCTAAAGCTAGAAACGAATAATATCCAAAAGCTGTGCCAAGTACCAAAAGTTGATATTTTTTACCAATGTATCCCTGTTCTATTATAAAATTTGAAGGATTCTAGGTATTGTGCTCTCTTCAAATATGCATACCTTCAATGATACCAGTAGATTCATATGCCTTTGTGATTGCTTTTATCTTAATGTAGTAAATAGTCACTGATAATGTAATATTAAGAACATAATACTGTAATATTTTTATGGTATCACAGATTTTGAGACAAAGCTTTGAAACTAAAATTATTAATGTTATGCTCAGTTTTTGTGCAGTTTTCTGATTCTCTGCTGGTATTTTCTCAAGTCAGAAAATCTACCAATGACTTCTCAGGCTGAGATTGAGATGTAAATCATTACTCTAAAAGTATGATTTGAAAATGTATAGCTAAGTGGATTACAACTAAGTGATAGTTATTTTTTCTCCTCCTTGTCTTTTTGAGGCATCCTAAATTTCCTCCTAGTCCCGCAAAGCCATTTCCTAGAAAAAACATCAATCATTATTAGCATTATTTCATTAAAAGCATTATTTCATATATCTGCTATTCAGTTGTTTATAAATGTTTCGTAATTGTACTAAATGCCTTTGTTCCAGTTAATCTACCCAAGCAATTTCACAAGCTATTTGGAACACACACTATCTATTAATGTTAAGCTTTTCCTTGAATAAAACTATAGCAGGACAGAGGAACGATACCAAGTTTTGCCCACCTGACTGAATCTGCCCTTGGTTGTTTCTTACCTGTGACCTTGGGCAAGTTAACTCTTTCATCTTCAGTTTCCTCAGCTTTCATATATCAATAACAAGACACCTTGAAGACTGGTTATCTGAGGATGAGAAATTTACAAATATGTGCATGGTTCCTGGCATATATTGGATCCACAGTAGCATTTAACTTAGTTTCTCAAACTCGGGTCTCTCTTTCCTGTAGGCTCATTCTCACTTACCTATTTGACATCTTCACTTAGATCTCTTCAAATATAACCTACTAAAAACTGAACTCAACTCATCCAACTTTTTCCCTAAATTCTATTTCTCTCCCTACTTAATGTTTAAGCAGGATAGAATACTATTCAGGCATTTTGTAGGCAACCTTCTCTTCTCAATCTATGAGCTCTTCTTATCCGACCTCAGATAGGCCCATGGCTTTAAATACCATCCAAATGTTTATCTTCAACTTTGATCTCACCTTGGGACTCAGGACCTGTGAAGCCAGCTGTCCCCCTAGCATCTCTCCCTGGGTGTCTCCTAACAGACATCTCAGATTTCGTGTATTTCCTCCCTCCCTTGACCTACCTCTCCCAAGGCTTCCACATACCAATAAATGACAACCATTATCCACTAGCTCCATTGCTCAAGCCATTCATCTGGATATTCTTGATTCTTCTTTCCCATCCTGCTTTATATCCCATCCAGAAGCAAACCCGGACCTTCCTGCCACCAAAACACACCTCAAATCCACCCTCCTCTCTCCAGGTGACCCACATCTGGTTAGGACACTGTTTTCTCATGTGTACTATTGAAGTAAGCTCCAAACCTATTTCTCCATTTCTCCTCCATCTAATCCAGTCTGTACACAGAAGCCCAAGTAATTGTTTCAAAATGTGAATAAAATTGCTTCCCAGGAGTATTAGTGGTAAAGAACCTGCCTGCCAATGTAGGAGATGTAAAAGATATGGGTTCAATACTTGGATCAGGAAGATTCCCTGGAGGAGGACATGGCAACCCAGCCCAGTACTCTTGCCTAGAGAATCCCATGGAGAGAGGAGCCTGGTGGGCTACAGTCCATGGAGTCGCAAAGGGCCAGACACGACTGAAGTGACTTAGCATGCACTCATGTAAATAAAATCATGTTATTTCTTATATTAAAATATTTCCATTGCTTCCCAGTCTTCTGGGAACATAAACAGAAATCCTCACCCTGACTTGAGAGTCTGTATGAGATGCATTACCTCCCCCACTCCCAATCTCTGATTTCATTGCCTTCCTCTCTCCTTATCCTCTCCGCCACAGCAAAGGGACTTTGAAGGAGCTCTTCACATATGCTGAGCTGATTTCTACCTGAGGACATTTGCCTTAGCCAGTATGCTTTGTGTGGACTGGTCCCCAAGTGGAACTTCACATGGCTGGCTTCTTGTCACTCAGAACTCAGCTAAATGCCACATCTTCAGAGAGGTCTTCCTTGGGGCAACCTAATCAAAAGTAACCACCAGTTCACCCTTTCGTGTGACTATAGTTTGCCATGCAGCACTTATCACCATTTTCTTGTTTATGATGTTTTGCTACTCCTGTTGAATGTGTCTAGAATAGGAGCTTAATGAAAACAGAGAACAGATCTGCCCTTTTTAAATTTCTTTCCAATTTCTAGAAGAGTACCTGACACAGGGTTCAAAATATTTTTCTGAACAAAAATGCGTGAGTTCATTGAATTGATCCATAAATTTGTAACCAATTTTATGCCAGTTGAGATTAAGTAGTCCCTTTTAAAATTCCAAGCTTCTGCTTCATTTTTGTCCAATATTTTGACATTTTGAAAAATTGCACTGAATCTTTAAAAGCAACTCTAACAGTGCTGATACTTGTCAGTCTACCTTTTAAGGACCTCTATAAACAGCCCTCGTCATACCTTTTCTGGCTTTATATTATTCATGAAATATATTCTAATTGTATCATTTTTCAATATTTATTTATTTTTATTTATTTGGCTGCACCGGATCTTAATTTGCAACATGTGGGATCTTTAGTTGTGGCATTTGAACTCTTAGTTGCATCATGTGGAATCTAGTTCCCAACCAGGGATCAAATCCAGGCCCCCTGCACTGGGAACACGAAGTGTTAGATATTGGACAGCCAGGGAAGTCCCTCTAATTGTATTCTTAACAGTAATTTCCAAGAAATAATATTATTTATAAGACCACAATTATAATATTAAACTCTATTTGGAAATATACAGTTTTCAATATACAGTTTTCTCTAATTATTATAGTGCTATTATAAGTAAAGTTAACCCATCTTAAAAACATTCTAATTAATTTACCTTTTGCTGTATAGTGATAGAAGATGGACCACCCATCCCACCCTTCTGATGTGATTGGTTTTTAATTGAAAATATATCATCAATATAAAGGAGTCAAATGAGAATATTTTAGGGAAAATAAATAGATGTAGACCCTTTATGAGATCTTTTATCCTCTAATGAGGTCAGAGCATAATCACCTAATTAAAACAATGGAAGTTCCAACAGCAACATGGTAAGGAAAATGTGTAAAAATGATTCCTCCTTTGTACTAGGAAAATGCCCATTTACTTTGAGCTTGCTCATTGGACAAAGTGATGACAATTTAGACACTAAGAAGGATCACAGTAATGCATGAAAATTCTCTTATAGTGTAATAATGCAAGTTTTGTTTCAAGGTCTATGATGTCATCAAGATCCTGTCCTGAAATTGTCCACTGAATGCTTGTTAGTGATACTTATAACATTAAATGAAGTTGTTTCTTCCAATAAAATGCACTTATGAGATGCATAAATTCATTTCTATATATCACTTCTGTATCCTCAAACTCATATTTGAGATTTCCAGGATTAATTACTGGAATCTTCTGAATTTTATAATAGAATAGGAGGATTCCCTGATAACAGGAACTGTGGAAGTTTGGACAGAACATTTGAAGGGGGGATTAAATTTAGATGGTAAAGTCTTTAAGAGTAAAAGATCTGGAATTACAAAACACACGAATGAAACCTTGCTCTAAAAAGGTATGTATAAAAATTCTTGCATCAGAGAAGAATTGATATTGTATTTCTTAAGAGAGCCTTAAACTAGAGAAATCTAGGTTGATGGCAGTTTTATGACAGGTATGTGTGTCTCAAGATTGAACTCTAGGCACAATTTGATGGAAGAATGATTACCTAATATAGAAGTATTTAGGGGGGAAAGCATTTGTTTAAAACAGGCCTAATAACAGCTAGAATACTTAATAAATGAATACTTCCACCAGCAGCAGGGCTTCTCTGGTGGCTCATTGGTAAAGAATCTGCCTGCGATGCAGGAGACCTGGGTTCAATCCCTGGGTTGGGAAAATCCCCTGGAGAAGAGAAAGGCTACTCACTTCAGTATTCTGGCCTGGAGAATTCCATGGACTAGAGTCCATGGGGTCACAAAGAGTGGAACACGACTGAACGACTTTCACTTTCACTTTTTCACTAGCAGTAAGCTTGCCTGCTTGTATAAACTTTATTCATTTCTGAATCTCTACTGCCTGGCAAATAATAGCTGTTTATTGGATGAATGAGCTTGTTTCAACATAATAATATATCACAATAATTCTGGAAATTCAAATATATGTTCACTTATTTATGAATAATTCTCCTAAATTGATATTACCACCTGAAACATTCCAGTGGTTAAGACCTTCACTTCCAGTGCACTTCCAGTGCAGGAGTTACGCGTTTGATCCCTGGTAGGGGAGATAAGATCCCACACGCATCTCAGCCAAAAAGCCAAAAACATAACCAACAGAAGTAGTATTGTAACAAATTCAATAATGACTTTAAGAAAAAAATGAACAGCCTAAAGCTCAGGATGATAGCTAGAATAATAATTAGATACTTATACTTGTCTTTTTTAAAAATAGAAACATTTGGTCTAGCCATGTATTTTCATCTATTTTGTCCCATATCTTTGATATCTAACAGAACAATTTATAATTTTAACTAGTTTTATTTTCATATTCAATATTGATATTATTTTTCAATCATATAACTTATTTAATTGGCATACAAATGTATTTGATACAGTTTTATATTTTCTTAATTGCAAAATCTAATTCTCATATAAATCCTGTTTTAGTGGACTTCCTTGGCAGGCCAGTGGTTAAGACTCTGTGCTTCCACTGCCTAGGGTGCGAGTTTGATCCCTGGTTGGGAAACTGAGGTCTCACATGGTCAAAAAAAGGATCTAAAAAAATCCTGTTTTATATTTTGAAATAAGAGAAAGAATTGTTCATCTTAACAGGCAAAATTGTTATTGATGAGGGAGTCTGTTTAAATTAGAAAATTTAATTAGAATGAGCCGTTTGAATAGTTCCCCTAAACTGTCCCTGTGGGCATATAACAGGGTTATATGTGCTGTACATGTATATAACGTAACTGTCACATAAGCCCTACTCTTTCTCTCCTCCTCACCTTGCTAGCAGCCTCTTTATTCAATCAGTTTTTCTGCTCTTTGGGTTCTGATTGTACAGAGGTGCATGGTTGTTGAGTATGCATCTTACCTGTACTGACATATAGTATAAAGCTGTTTCAATGGTGATTTTTATTTCCAGTTACTTCATAAAATGCCATGAGAAAAATGACTTGAAAGCTTATAGTAAATAAAACATTCCTCTTCAAAAGACTGTGCATTCATGTTTCCGTGTGTATGAAAGAGAGAAGGAGAGAAAGGAGAGGGGAGGGAAGGGAAGAGAATGGACTTGCCAGGGTTATAAATCAGTGAAGAAAGGAAATTTTCATTCCCTAGCGTCTTTGCAAGTATAGCTAATCCTAAAAATAAGATCCTCTTTTGAGGAAGAGTTTTAAGGACGATTTTTAGAAGACTTGGAGGTGGCAGAAATAGTCCCTCTCAGGCTCAGTTACATTATTTGTAAAATAGGGATGATATTTCCTCATAAGGTCACCTATGAAAGCTAATGACATAATACCTATGAAATACTTAGCACCGTCCTCACACTTGGCAAGAGTTAGGTAAATGTTACTTATTTGTAGACAGTAGGTTTTAGAAGGAGCAATGAGAATGAGAAAGGAAGGAAGGAAGAAAGAGAGAGAAGGAAGAAGGGAAGGGGATGGGAAGGGGAAAGAAAAAACCTTGAATCTTTATAATTTAAAATGTTGCAAAGGATTTGGAGAAAAAAGACATTTAAATGACCCTTTGAGTTATGCTAGTGCTGTGGTCAAGATCATATTTTTTCAAAATGTGTCTTCTTCCACATTCTGGGTCAAGAATGACGTGTGCACATGGGAAAACACAATAACCAAAGGGCAGCAATATTCATCCGTTTTCACCTGCCTCTGATTAAATGAGTTGTCTAGGGTGATCTCTTGCTGTGCCTGAAAGCAAAAGCCGGTTAGAAAGATTTCATTTGGTAAATCCAATGCTGCAAGTATGAAAATTCTATCCAAACCAATGTGAATTGTTTCACTCTTTCACAAACTTCTTTTTGCTTCTATATATTAGGTTGAACCATACAAAAAATGCTAATATTTGGCCATTTTTTACCTTAAAAACTTAGGTTTTGGAGCATTCTACCTGGTTGACACACCTTTCTTCGTGATTTGATTTTACGATACTGCATGGTTAGTAATCACAACTTTTAAAAGAAAACTTACTCTAAGAGAGATCCTGCTTGTCATCTTTCTTCTTGAAGATAAACTGCTAAAACTGTTGAAAGATCAGTGTGGCACATGCCAAGGTGGGCAGATATGTGGAACAGTAAACTAAAAATTAAGAAAAAATATTTCTCTTACATCTTTAGGGCCACTACAACAAAGCTTCAGAATACTTTCAGCAAGCTTTCAACACAACAGCAGACATAATGAACATATCTCTGATGGATGAAACTAAAGTTCATTATGGAATAGCGAAAGCTCATCAAATGATGCTGACGGTTAACAGCTGTATAGAAACTGCAGATCTCACCAGCCTTGACTACCTGCTGTCATGGAAGGACAGTAGAAGTGACATTACACCTGATCCAACTACTGGTAAGGCGTTGGTGTTTGTTTGTTTGTTTCAGTTGGAGGCTAATTGCTTTAGAATGTTGCGTTAGTTTCTGCTGCACAACAACATGAAACAGCTGTGAGTATATATACATCCCCGCCCTCTTGGGCCTCGCTCACACCCCCCCACCCACGTCATCACTGAGCGCCGAGCTGAGCTCCCTGGGCTGTGCCGCGGCTTCCCGCTGGCTGGCTGTTTTACACACGGTAGTGTTTGCATGTCAGTGCTACTGTTTGTCCCAGCTGTGTCTCCTTCCCCCACTGCGCTCAACTCCGTTCTTACATCTGCATCTCTATTCCCGCCCTGCACATTCAGGCTCATTCGTACCCGTTTTTTCAAGTCCATGTATGTGTGTTAATATACAGTATATGTCTTTCTCTTTCTGACTTGCTTCACTCTTTTCGACAAACTCTAATATTCATCCACATCACTACAAATGACCCAATTTTGTTCCTTTTATGGCTGAGTAATATTCCATTGTATATATGTATCGCAACTTCTCTGCTTTTTGAGAACAATGTAGATTTTTGTATCATTCTTAATGGCTAAGTCATTTTCATTATAAAAGTTTATTCAACCATTGGCAATTTTAATTTTAGTGTATTTTTATGTTTATTTATTCATTACTATGTGAATGTTGACTGCATTTTCATACCATATTGTAACTTCAATATTTAAGGAAAGCATACAGTAGTGATAATGTCTTATTAAGTTTGACAAATCACCATTTTTTCAGTTATCTTAAATACTCAACAGTAGGTATTGATCAATTGTAAGGAATATGAAATAGATTTATGTTTTTAAAAATGTTCAGTGTTGTACCTTATTGACAAGAGCAAGTGTACATAGATGCTAATTAGTATTATACTCTTACTTTTCTTATGATAATCAGTTTTCCTATCTTTCTCTGATTCAGTTGTGACTATTAATTGAGAAAATATTTGATAGTAATTTCTCTTAATCCTTACTTTTTCCTACATAATTTTCTTGTGATAATTAGAGTAGTTTATTAAAAACAAATAGCTAGAAGTGGACATAAGGGCCGATTTTATATGTTAATTCAACTGGGTTCTAGTCCCATTTAAGAACTTTAGGATTTTTAAATAATTTTTTAAAATGCTGCCTATGAAAGGCCTTTGGACTACATAACTATTTGCTTGTAAATCAAACTTTTAAAGCAAAATATTTTAAATGTTTGAGAACTCAAATCAAATCGTAAATCAAAATTTCATAATATAAAGGGGCATCTCCTGTCTGCATTTTAACTTTTTACACAATTTTTAGAGGTTTCTTTTCCACTTACAGTTATAAAACACTTATAAAATATTGGCTATGTTCCTCGTGCTATACCATATATCCTTAGTCTATCTTACAACCAATAGTTTGTACCTTTCACTCCTCCACCCCTTGTAGCCCCTTCCCCATACTGGTCACCTGTAGTTTGTTTTCTGTATTTGTGAGTCAGCCTCCTTTTTGTAATATTCACTAGTATGTTGTGTTTTTTAGATGCCACATGTAAGTGATATTATATGGCATTTATCTTTCTCTATATGACTTTACTTAGAATGCCCTCCAAGTCCAATGCAGCCAAGAATGCTGCAGAAGGCAAAATTTCATGCTTTGTGATGACTAAGTAGTGTTCCTGTGTGTATGGTGTGGGGGGGGTGGGTACTTGTTCTCCATCCATTCATCTGTTGATGGACACCTAGGTTGCTTCTATATCTTGACAGTTGTAAATAATGCCAATATGAACATTGGGCTGTTCTTTTTGAATGAGTGCTTTTTTCGGCTATATAATTCAGGAGTGGAATAGCTGGGTATCTCCTATTTAGTAGTCTTTTTTTACCCTTAGGTCATTTACATGAAACAATAATTTGTTTGGCTGTTTCTTTCCTCCATAGAATAAGTAGTAAATAATAGTAAACTTGGCACAAAGAAATTTTATTGACTCTTTTACATCAATAGAATACTGCTTTGTGACTATCTGTCCTCTAGGTAGAAAATAAGTAAAGGTCTCATTTAATAGAAGCACAGTAAGGGGAAGCAAGATGAAATCTTCAGAAGTGGATGGCTTGCTGAATTTCAATGTGCAATTTCAAGTGCTCAAAAAAAATTTATAGTCAACAGTTAACTTTCACATAATACTTTGCTTATTCGGGATGTTGTCTTGTCATATATTTGGGCATTTGTTCTGTAGTTTTGAATTATCTTCCCTTTAGGCTCTCACCTTTTCTGCCCAGGAGCTAAAGCAGTGAAATTATGATCCATCTATTAGATTACTTGTTTTGGTGAATGGTTTGGTGCAGAGTAAGTTGAGTTACTCACATTTTCAGATTCAGTTGGGATAAACTATAACCAACATAATGATAACCATGAAAAAAATATATACTCCTCAAAACTAGCTTCAGATCAGAGTCATGTGTTCATTTATTGCAGTCTTGTTTTTGGCTTTTTAAAAATCTCTTTTGCTTTGCTTTAGTCTATAAAGCTACTTATGTTTCTATTCTTTTTACATTTTATCTCCCCATTTTTTATAAGGGCATGTTGTGTTCTAAAGGGCTTAAGAGCAAACAAAAATGCACTTCAAAATATTATTTAGACATATACAAAGAGCAAAATGAATGAACAAAAACAAACACATAGATACAGGAACAGAGTAGTGGTTGTTGTTGTTGGTGGTGGTGGTGGTGTGTCGCTCAGTCATGTCCAACTCTTGTGACCCCATGGACTGTAGCCCGCCAGGCTCCTCTGTCCATGGGATTTCCCAGGCAAGAACACTGGAGTAGGTTGCCACTTCCTTCTCCAGGAGATCTTCCAGGATCAAGGATCCATCCTGGGTCTCCTGCATTGGCAGGTAGACTCTTTGCTGACTGTGCCATCAGGGGAGCCCTAGAGTAGTGGTGACCACAGGGGAAGTGGGGGAGCAAAATGGGTGAAGGGGATCAACTATATGGTGATGGACAAAAACTAAAATTTGGCGGTAAGCATGCTGTAAAGTATACAGAAGTAAAAACAAAGTGTTCTACACATGGAACTTATGTTATAAAACAATGTTACCATAGTAAGAAAATAAAGAGTATTATTCAGACAGTAAAAATTCAGCTATTCATGTGGTGGAGAAGATTAAATTCTCCATAACTCTATAAAATTATACACTCTTGTTAATTCATTTGACCAAAACTAGAAATTTATGCCTGAATGAGCTATATCATTATAAAAGTGAAAAATAATAATCTTTCAGATTCATGGCAAATGAGAATTAGCATACTACTGGTATACATTTTTAGTAGTAGGTATAAAACCTCTAGGATATTATCAAACACCTAATTTATTTTACACTAAAATTTTGTTGTTTTTAGTTACTAAGTCATGTCCAACTCTTTTGCGACCCCATGGCCAAAGCCCGCAAGGCTTCTCTGTATATGGGATTTCCCAGGCAAGAATACTGGAGCGGGTTGCCATTTCTTTCTCCAGGGGTCTTCCTGACCCAGGGATTGAACCTATGTCTCATGCATTGGCAGGCAGATTCTTTACCATCCAGCCACTAGGGAAGCTCCACTAAAATTTTAAAATGCTTCAAAATTATTTCTTAAACCATAACTCTTATTATTCTGTCTTTGCTCTGTTTAAAAATTTTCATGGAGTCATTCCTGTTCATAAGTTAAATACAAGCTTCTCAACCTTTTTTGACCACCTCCCTCCCCTGTCTACACACACACATACATACACACCATAACCCTATTATTGCCTTACTTTCAGCTAAGGCCAGCCCCCTCCAGGGAAATCTCACCCACCTTGAAAGGTCCTTCTCAAATACTGAGATCTTCATTCTCTTCTCACTTAATATTGTTCCTTCTCTCTCTTATATTAAATATCATCCATTTCTCTCCAAGTATTTTTCATTTGTCATATTCTGCATCTTATCATGGCCATTTCTATACTTGCCTTGTTTGCCTGATCAGAGTAAGACTCTCTTGAAATCAGATTCAGATTCTTGATATTCCCTTCAAAAGAAGGCATGTCTGACACCTACTAGGTACCAAGTAAATATTTGTCAAATTAAATGGAATTCAAAGTGTCTGTGTATGCCCTCGGCATGAGCTAGTTTGTATTAACTACTGATGAAAACAAGATTTGTATTTCCCTGCCTCCTTGGAAAATATAGGGGGAAAAGCTGTAATGATCTAATACTGTATTTTTGATTTACCATCCAATTACAACATGAATGGAGGATAACACCAATATGATGTTGACAAAATGAAGAAATGCAGAAATATTATTTGAAAATCTGAGGAGCTTTTAGTTTTTCAAATTTTGCCTTTCTTCTCTGAAGAGGCATCTTTAATCTTGCTATTGAGGGGTCCCAGGTATTCAGTAACAAGCACATCAAAGATTTGAAAGATACATTATAAAAGCTGTGAGGTTATCTTCACCTCTGAGACTTACATCCTCCAAACAAATCATTAGCTCACAGAGCAGGCAATATTCTTTTAAGCAAAGGAACATGACCTCCTAAGGGAATAGAGCAGTGAGAGCACTTGGGTCTCTAGATAAAATAGAACAGTGATTCACTGGAATCACCTCTCATCTCTGTGTTTTTCAGAGGGAACATAGCAAATATAGACACCTCTATACTCTTCTAATACATTAAGATATGGTGGGAATGATTTCATATTCCTCCTTCCCCTGCCAGTAGTAAAATAAGAAGAGATTCTCCTCCCAAATTTGAGAATTTAGAAGGAATTCAAATTATATTACAGTTCAATAGAATTATTCAAATCTGAAGCAACAGAAATTGTTTGGCTCTGGAAAGCTTAATCTAGGAATTTCTGCTGATTTCTCCACAATATAGTTTATTTTCCTTACCAGAACTAGTATCTGTACCATCATGAAATTTTTTTTAATGAAAAGCTAATTCATCTTGCCTTTTGGAGATCACAGACCCTGATGACGAGCAGTGACACAGAAGCTAAAGTTTTCTTTA